AATACTGCACTTTGGGATTTTTGAATTTAAATGAATGAATTTAAAACCTTGTTTTTTTACAACCAGACTGTTGACACAGCAACAAAACAGCTTTATCCAGTGACTTCTCCCTCTGTCACCACCAAATCAAACCAGGATTGAAGAAGCCATGCATGTCCTGCATGCACGTCCTTCAATGCTGACATTTTCATTTTGTAATAATGTAATTTCATGATGAATGGTTGATTAATTTAGGTGAGATGTAGATTGTGTCTCTACTTGTATTGGTATCAAAAATTCATGCAATATTATATTATATGTTGAAATCTTACATAATCTCTCTTACTGCATGGTGTTATCATCATGACATCATTCTTACCATCCTAAATGATAATTTCTGATCATGTTTGGTTTTTGTCTGTATTTCTATAGAATGTAAACATACCTGGAAAACATTTTTTTTGAACTATGCATTTTTTTCATTTTCGTAATTTGCCTAATGTCATCTATAATAAAATGTAATGGACGAATACAGTTACAGAACTGAACTTATTATTTTTATTAGTTCACAGATTTTTTGGACCAAATCAAATCCAATCACCCCATTCAATTTAGACCACGTTCCAGGTACAGGTGTCAGAGTAAAATTGAATTGAACAATTACAACTTCATTTATACACAGCTGTGGATGTTGTAAAGACCTTTTACAGCTATGCCATAGAGAAGAAAGACAATTGAAACTGAATATATCAACAAGAGCAATGGAGGCTAGGAATTTAAAATATATTGAAACTCTCTGAAATAACCTGGTTTTCTGCATTGATTGTTCATAAATGTGATTAGATAACACACAACAAATTAAAAGCATCACAGGGGTGATTGCTATTCTGAGCCAGCGCATTGCATATACCCCAATCAGGCAATTTTAACTTTGTTGCATTGTGATAATTCCCACATGTGAACACTCACACAGTAAGCTATATTGTGCACCAGATGCATATCAAGAGCAGAGGCCTGTACAACGAAGCAAGGTAACTTCAGGTGTAACTTTGTGATGTGGGGTGTAACTTCACAATTAACCTGTTGTATGTCACAAACATGGCTTACCCTGCAGGTGTCAAAGATCCACACAGTTTGGAAAATCTGCTCTTACTGTATTCCACACACTTGAAATAGATTTCAAGTTGACTTCATTAATACAACTGAGGCAATTCCAAGAATGAATTGACAATACTATTGATCGCAATTGTTGCTGCTTTTAATTTTACCACTGGCTTA